ATCACGATCATTGCCGCCTGTCCTGACCCCTGCCTGGTATCGTTTATGTTCTTGGACTGCCTGTTCTATGTTTGATGCTGATTGTTGACTCTTGCCTGTTTGACTACTCTTAATAAATACACTGCATATGGATCTGCACGCCTCTGACCCTTCGTTACACACTATATATATATATATATATATATATATATATATATATATGAAGAGTTCAGAGGCAAAAGCCTCTAAATGCCATTTGAAATTTTCTTCTTTAATGATGATTTTTATCAAACTTGTATATTTAAGTTCAGTAATTTCACTTAAATAACAATTAATAGGTAATTATCATTGCCATTTAAGTGAAATCACTGAACTTAAATATACAAGCTTGATAAAAATGATCATTCTAGAAGAAAATTTCAAATGGCACTTAGAGGCTTTTGCATCTGAACTCTTCATATATATACATAATTTTGTTGTAAAGAGAATATTACTTAATAATTTTACTTTTATGAATATGAAATGTACCTAATAAAATCACAAGACTTCATAAAATTAACAGATGCATTTTTTTTTAAAGCTATATAATAACATCTTTGGTAAAATCATCAAGAAGTAATAATCTTTGCACAATTTTTTTGGAATGGTAAAATTAAAAAAAGATGTATTTTTTCTGGCTGATCTGAACAAAATGAGCTATTTTAATCAAATCCATACATGTTGATAAAGTATAGCTTTAATAGCTACTTATTAGAAATAAGGTTTTTATTGGTGTTTATACTTGAATAGTGACGTTTATCTCTAAAATGCTGCAGTAAAATGGTTAGATATTTGGTGAGCACACTCTATGGGACGTCCCGTACATGACCTGACCATTGCTTTTTTCTACTTATTAGAAATGAGGTTTTTATTTGTGTCTAAAGTAGAAGAGAGGCCTATATCTCCAAAACGCTGCAGTAAAATGGTTAGATAATTGGTGTGCACACTCTATGGGACGTCCCGTACATGACCTGACCATTGTTTTTTTCTACTTATTTTTTCTACTAGCTCCATGCATTGTGGTCCTGTAGGTACTGTAACGAGAGTGGAAAGGTGCTGCGGAGCAGTTGACCTGTGTGGATCAACCTTGGTGTCAACCAAAAGTCTGCACAGTTTTTCTTCTGCCGTACATCTAAAACCTTGTTTTCACTTCTTCCTCCGGTTATAATTTATAATTTATAATTCCCCTAAGAGATCTTATAAACACTTTTAGTGAACTGTATCTTGACTCAGATAATGAAAATGAATGTGATGATCAACCTGACATTCCTTTGCCTCCTTCTCCTCCAGATGATATAATTTCTGATGTACATTTCACAGAATACTTTAGTCATGGACTGAGCGAGTTAAAAATCTGGAGGGTAAAGTACAAACTTGCCTACAAACGTTACGTCAATGTTGCTCACAAACTAAGGTGAGCAATCAGTGTAAGCATCTGGAAGAAAAATTGTATTACAAAATTGAAAGGGAATGTGGAAGAGTTAAGGAGAGCCTTGAGTTGACTATTCAAGATTTTGGAAAGTCAATGGTTGACTGTCTGAAGGGAAGAGACGCCCAAATCGATGCCAAACTTAAAAGTTATGCTCATGTTATATCTACTCATCCAGTGTCCAGAACAACTTACCAGATAAGATCTCCCCAAGTTACCAATTTACCAAATAACTTTAATTATGTATTTTATCGTCCACCAGTAAAAGCTGAATTTCCTCAATTTGATTCTGATGATCCTGTCTCTTTCATAGAACGCTGTGTGGAGTATTTTGCAATTAGACCCCTCACAGATTCTAAAATCCTTACATCCCTTACTTCTGTCCTAAAGGGTATGGCTAAAGACTGGTGGTTGGCTGAGAAAAGACATGAGACTACCCACGGGAACAATTAAAGCAAGAATTTTTGCATGCTTTCCTTACAGATGATTATGAAGCTGATGCCACAAAACGTCTTTTAGAAAGGAAACAAAGATCAGGTGAATCTATTCTTGATTTTGCTTACCACTACAGAGCCCTTTGTCTAAGATGAAAGAAAGAGATGATGGAGAGAGAGATTGTTCAAGCCATTTTAAGAAATTGTAACCCCAGATTTGAAAGTTTATTGAGAGGAACTGTGAAGGAAGTGAGTGAGTTGGTGCGAACTGGAACACAAATTGAGAGAGATATTGAAGAAGGGAAACGTTATTGGAGCCAGGTTAATGCCGAAACCCAGAAAAGAAAATCCCCATTTGAATGAGATTCTCTGCCCAAATCAAGTCCTTCTTCAACTCGCATTCTGCAACCTTTGAGTAGTGAATCACACTTAAAGACTCTGACTTCACCCCTGTTGGTCAGAGGAAGATACTTTTAAGCTTTGGGGTTTCATTTTAAACTGTGCGTAAGAATCCTTACTAAAAGTTTATGTTAAAGCCAAATATTGCATACGCCAAAAAATATTCAGATTTATAAAACCATTATAGGCCAGAACCTGTGCAGAATTCACTTTATAAATCCCAGTCAGCCGAAGATTGTGCTCTCATCCCATGGCGTCATATACGATTTTGCCAAAGCGTAAACATCCAATGCACATGGCACCCTTTATTAGAGCAGATATATATGGGGCAGAAGGCGCCCCCTAGTGGTCTAACCCTAACTCTACCTCATACCTAAACCTACCATAACCGAAGCGTCTCATTTGACGCTAAAGGGTGCCGTGTGCGTTGGATGTTTATGACGCCTTGGGATGAGAATGCGTTGAAATAACCATATATGGAGTTTACAACGCCTAGTTTAAATATGCATATCCTCATCTGCATATCATTTGCATATGATTATTCATCTATACCATGTGAAGGTACAAGACGTTAGGAAAATATGAAATATTATGTGCCATGTCACAATAAATTAATATTTTTTTAGTTGCCTATATCCTTGCCTTGTTTTTGAATGAATAAATCAAATAGTGTAAAATCCATTTCAGAGAAAGATTTTCTTAATATTTTCCACTGTTATTGAGAACATGCACTGTATTTATTAGAAATCATGAAGACTTACGGTTTCACTTCATCTGCCGTTAGATTATAGGCTATATGTGCGTCAGTTTCACTAAACGCCCCAACGCGCTTGCTGGCGCGGACATTTAAGAAGGGATGGATATTGGCTTCAATTAAGTGATAGGCTTGGTGAGTGAAATTATAGGCTATTATCTTTCCTATAGGCTATAATTTTCTTTAGATTTTCGGTCTAAAAGTGACCAAAAATACATTTAACTCCAGCTCTTCATCGGTGTCGCCAATTCCCTTTGACTCCAGAATGTGCGTAGCCTATACGTTTTTTTTTTAATGTTTTTATTGAAATAGTTATACATTACAGCAACGAGAAAGAGAATATAATATAAATTAAAAATAATAATACAAAAATAAAGAAATATATATATATAAATAACATTAAAGCTTCACATAAAGACCTAGTACGTTTTGCTTTACTTTTTTTCAACCCAAGAAGTAACTCACAATAATTTTTCATTTCTATCTAAAAAAAAAAAAAAAAAAAAAAAAGGGTTTCCTTTTAGCCCATTTTTGTTTGTGTATATGATATTTCCATAATCAAACAGAGGTAAACAACAAAGGCCACATTTGGTGGTACATTTTGTCTATTAAAATAAAAAAAAGACATCTTTTTCAGAAAAGAAAACTTTTAGTCCTAACGATTTGCAAAGAAAACATTCCATATCCACCCAAAACATTTGTCTATAAATGCAATTAAAAAATAGGTGGAGGACAACATCTTTCTCCGTCCCACAGAAATCACATATACAACCCGATCACACTAAACGCATCTTTATAGCACGCATGTGTATTGTCGTGTAATTTATACGCTAAAGTGAGTTTTTACGTACATATGATACGCATTGTTTGGTCACTCAGGGTAGGTTTAGGTGTGGTGTGGGGTTTGTGTGTATTACACGCAAATGAACTGCGTATCAAATCCATGCGAAAAACTGCGTCCCATATGCACGTCAAAACTCATTTTCGCGTATAAATTACACGTCACGACTACACGATGCGTGTTTTAGAGACGCATTTACGTGAGAACCGATGCATGGCATAATGGTATTGGTACTAGACAGTCTGTTCCATAGAGGGAGTGAGACTGTTATTTTATGTCAATAAACCTGTTTTTGAAGCATATCATCATATAGTATGGCATCCATTTTAGCTTCTTTTGTGTAATTGTTACAACTTACCCCGGCATGTGTTACAACCTACCCCGTATAGGTTGTAACAAAGGTACTGTATGTATTTGACATCAACTCACTAGGTCTGTGATAGGGGATTGAATTGGTGCCATTTGTAGTGAACAAATGTGGGTACTTTGTATAAAAATTCGAGAATAAAATTCAGTGAGTTATAGTTAGCCTACTGAAGCAAAAAGTGTTACAATCATACCTGGTCTCCCCACTGTGTGTGTGTGTGTGTGTGTGTGTGTGTGTGTGTGTGTGTGTGTGTGTGTGTGTGTGTGTGTGTGTGTGTGTCTGTGTTCTTAATCAGAGTCACAGTGCTGACAAATGAATGCTGGTAACCCTGGAGTGCAAGCTTTGTGGGCCAGGGTCCCATGTTTGCAACTGATCTAACTGACTTGCCTTTCTGTAAGGGCATTCTGTAAAAATATTCAAATCAATCAGTTGTATGATAGGGGATGGTCGTAACACTTTTTTCAAGAAGTGTTACAACTCACCCCACCCCTGACAGTCACTGTTTAGCTAGCTGTATTAGCATACTGGTTTGGAATTGGCAGGGGAAAACTGTATCAAATTTTGCCTAAGAAACTACATTTTAATATGATATAAGTCAAACTATTTTATCTGCAATAATTTAGATACTAGACAAAAATAGTCTTGGTCAAAAAATTACTTTCTTACCTCAAAATCATTTTTTCTCTATAAATTCAGAATGTGTTGGTTTCCTTGACAACTATGCAGTATCAGGGAGGAAGTATAGGTAAATACTGAAATGATTACATGACTTCTATCTTATCCCTAAGTGGTAGAAATGGTGGTGTTACAACTCTCCCGTTACCATACCCGGTCTCCTATAGTTATTCAAGAGTTAAATTTCGCCAATAAAAAAAATTGCATTTGTATGGTTTTAGTGTTCCGAGGCTTGTTCTTGGGCGACAATCAGAAAAAGTCTTTAAGTCATACACAATGTTGTTCACAAATACGCATATTGTTGCAGTATTTTATTGCTAAAATATTCATGTGTCATTCATAAAAATAATACCAACATATACAGTGCACGAGAAGCAAAAATTGAGCTACTTTATAAGTCTAAGTGTTAAAACAATGACATTTGAAATGATTCATATTTACCAAGGCCGCCAATAATTATGTTTCAAACTGCAGCACTCATCAACCTTTGTATTTTTAAGACTGGAGTGTATGTTTTTGAGCTTCTTGGATCCAGTGGTCCCAACCTGTGCATCGAATGATATTTTGTCAATATCACAAATCTCAATCCTCTTCGGCATAAAGCAGTGATTTCTGTCTGATATTTGCTGCACGTTGGGATAAGGAGCGTCAGTTTTAAGTGCAACTTCATATGATCGCCGAAGTGTAGGCCTATTTGTTGGTGCAAGGATCGGTGCGGGGTCGCTTTCCGCGGTACTGAAATCGGGAACCCTGGTGTGGCGAGTCCCGCTCGTGAGATGTGTCAGCATGGTGGAACGGGAATCCCTGTCCATTTCTGACGCGTGAAGATAATGACTGACAGTGGCGAGACATCTTCTGTAGCCAGCGTGATATTCAGCAGAGTCACAAACTGTGGGCATTTCTGTATTTAGAGAAAACAATATTTAGTTATGAGTTTCCAATAATAAACTTCTTATATAGCCTATTATGTTGGGAAATGAATACATTCTTTAAAAAAATATATATATTAAAGGGCACACGTACCTCTTTCGCTATTTTGCAGATGCCTCAGATGTTTTACCGTTAGTTCCAAAATGTCAGCCTTTTCCAGTTTTCGCTTGCGGATCTGAATAATGCAATTATTAGTGAAATTAGAAACAGATCCGTTAGATTTTGTGACAGAGATTCGTGTTAGAATTTGAATAGGAGATTAAAAATGTCTTACACTGTTGGAACAGACGCTTTCCAGGAGGCTTTTCAATTGATTCAAACATTTATTGATACGTGCCCTTCTTTTCTTTTCCATCAGTGGTTTGGAAACCTGAAATACAAAATCGTTTTCTTTCGTTTCAAATAAAATAAATATACACCGATAAAGAAGGTTGACGATTTATTGTAAAAAAAAAAAAAAAAAAAACAATACTCATAATCACCTTTTTAACGCATTTAGTTTTTGCCGTTACCATTCTGTCTGATGCTGCATCCATTGTCCTCAAATGTGCTTAGATACCCAGATTATCAGACTACCTTGAGTTGGAGTGACGGAATTTCCCCGAGTGTCCTGGTTTATATAGAAAGACTCACTTAACATCTCAATGGACTGCTCATATCCATTGAGACGTGCATCCACACGTGCGAAAAAGAGCATCCATTTAGTTTCCTCTTGACACCCAATCAGCATGAAGTTGCTTTGTTCTCAAAAAAGAGCTTAGGAGTAATTTAGGTATTTCTCGCTTTTATAAACCACGAGACTTTTATTTATACAATCAGAAGAAACATAATTAAATAATATGTTTTTTGAATATTATTTGTCCATACTGGCGTCATACGTAATTAGTTATACACCTACAGTCTTTTTACATGCCAGCCTAATTTAGTTTGATATGGCAATCTGTTGCTTTTCAATATTTGGACTAACGCTTATAATTATGTTATACCTAAGAGCGATACATCTTATATGTAATGTGTTTTAGTTTAGAAATTAATAGTTAAGCACTGACATTAAACATCATCGTGTGGGGTGAAAATTTAGCTTTTAGAAAGTTGTATAGAAGCACCGTAAAATGGGAAGTGTTACAAATAACCAGACGAGCTGTAGAGGAATTAGCTCCGACTATTCATCCTTTTCTCTTCAAGTTTCACGCCATGTGGGACAGGCAGCACCGTGGAAATCTTTTCCGTGTCTTCACAACGTGACAATTTTATGCCAATAAGGAAGGGGAACCTTCACCTTTGCTGAATTAAAATGTCAAGATTCTACAAACCAAAGCAACTTTTTCTAAAAATGCGCAAAAGTTATGATTATTTGTCCTGTAGAATACAAATGGTCATGCTACAAGCAGAGCTATTCGTGTTTTAAGCTTGACTTGAGAACATAGGTACCTGGTCTCAAAAAGAAGTAGAATTCTCACAGATGCTCATTTCAAAGAAATAAGCGAGGAGAATCAGAGGAACGCCTCCTGTCCGAGGGCCCTATCTGCCTGATTTTCCACACTTCCCCATCAATAGGGTTTGTCCTTGGGAATTTCGTACAGGGTTTTAATAGTAATGAAGCCACCTCAGTGTGTGAAAAACTACAGTTTCACATAAAACAGTTTTTAAAAAGTGGTTAAGTGAACTGTTGAAAACAAGTTTATAATGCCCGCACAGCTATAGTGTTCAATTCACAATTCAATCGACCTTTTCGGTTATTTTGTTAATTAACAGTAGAAACATTATTGGAGCAATGGCATTTTGGTTCTAAATAAATGTTGGTGATCAAAATTACAATACCCTGTTGCACATGCGCAGTAAGAAAGACAGGGGTGCCTCCAAACGCATGACACGCGACAGGATGAATGAATGTCCATTGATAGCTTTTAGATTTTTTTTTTCACTTGAGACGGCTTCACCATACAATAGGTGTAGCCTATTTATACAGAGGAAACAAATGACGTGACACTGGAATAGAATCACATTACAATTTCAGCAGCTCCGGTCAAGAGCTTTTAGAAGGCAATGAAAAACACTACAGTTTATATAGCCTAGGCATATGTATAGGATTGCGATTGATCTTTCAGGTCTATTGTGTAGGCTAAGTTATCTTTATCCTTTATCCGACCATTTTTAAAACGACACACTAATATTGCATAAAACTTGCAAAGAGCACAACATGTGAAACGTTTTTAATTTTTATGTTAAATACACAATGCAAGCATTAAAGTAGATCTATAGTTGGTTTAATAATTAAAAGAAACATTCCGAGTGTTGTTAACGTCTATATCATTTTGCTCTTATTTTTTGTTGTTCCGCCTATGTTAATTTTCAGATTTACATAAAAACATGTTGGGCTAATAAACTAAAAGATAAGTAGGTAGTGCCCATATGCATGTTTGTTATCTACAAGCATTTGATATTCAGTTGTTTGTAATGGCAAAAAAAAAAAAAAAAAATTGGTTCAAACGCTGCTGTGTTTCTCTTTTCACAGCGTAAAATAGCGCAAATCAGTATGAAATCGGAGCAAATCAGCTCTTTTGTGACGCTGATTTACACGTCAGTCACACGCTTACACTGTGGTACAGTTCACAGTTACTTTTCAAAAGCAAATAATCTTATTTAGTCAATTGTAGTAGGCACCCAAAAAAGTCCATCATTTCAGATCAAATGAAAGAAAGAATTTGCATAGAACGCTTAGAAGATCACTTTATTGCCACGTGTTCTATTTAGAGGTTTCACCGTTTTTTCACTTTGTCAGAAACAATAAGATAGGAACAATCTGTGCTCGAGTTTGGCATAATAACAGACTGCAATGAAGGTTAAGCGCATGTTTATCAAAAGCTTGGAAGTGCTTTCACTTTTCTTCATCTGTAACTGATTAACCCTGACTGCCTTTTATCATGCACGCTTAGTTAGGAGATCCCGTAGTGACTGAAGTATTCTATGGCTTGTTAACAACAATTAGTGAAGCAATTATACAATTACTGCAATAAACGTTCAATTTCCAAAGCACTACAATTCATTGTTAACATGTAAATACAAAACGATGGCAGTAAAAGAGAATCAGCTGATGTCATTGGGCTCGAAATGACAGGTACCAAAAATATTAATCAGTAAAACAAAAAAACAAGTTTTATCGTCACCACAATTCAAAGACTTTAATGAGATAAAAATAATGTAAAATGCTTTATTCGCTGTTTTTGTTTTTGTTTTTTGTATTCTGAAAGATTGTTTGTGTTGCCTTTTTACGGGGAATTTTACCGTTTTTACCGTTTACCGTATACCGATGATTTTAATAACAAATAGAATTCCCACAAAGTAGGCTATAATACCATACTATTTCAATGCTATAAAATATGACGACTCACGTACTGTAGGCCTATTTGTTCTTCATAAAATAATAATTAGGCTTTTGCAAAGCATAAAACACCACGCGACATTTTTTGGTCCGATCAAATATTGCAAGTTATGAATTTCTATAGACCGTAAGTTTTTGAGAAGTCTTTACTTTGACTTAGGCGTCCACGGTTCTGTGTTTGGCTGTGTGCACTAAGGAGAAAAACAGAGGGGCACATTAACATTGGCTATTCTTAGGGGCTATTCTTAGAGCAACTTAAACCCCAACGAAGGATGGAAGCTTTTGTGAAGCAATTCAGTCAGAAACTAAAGACAAAAACCCTCTCACATTGTTAAGTACCACATCTTGTCCATTGACGCTCTTTGATTTGCAAAGCATCTGCCATTTACCTCACAGACTAAGCAACCACTTTATATAACAAAACACTTGTGGGCACTGTTTTTACTTGAAATGTAGCAGATAATATTGAATGATTGAATTTCCACGATGAAGTATTGATTCTGTAAGTTGCATATTCTTTCATTTTAAATCTATATAAAATAAATACAAATTCATCATTTCAATTCAGTTACCACATGAAGCACATTTTTTAGACACCATGTAATAAAGTGAAACAAACGTTAGGGGTGAATTTGTGTGTTTCGCGTTATGTTTAGGGGATATAATCTACTGTTTGAACAGTATAAAAAAAATCTAAATGTCTATTGAAAGTCCCCATACGTGTTTGAACATTTCGTTTATCTATTGTCTTATTTTGTCTTAATGATTTATTTATTATCTTTGTGTAACTAAAAAAAAAAACCCAACAGTCATTCATAGACTGATGAAAAATAAACAATAAAGCCACACAGATGTGTTAGAGTCGCGTGGGTGGCATGAGTTTTTCCTTCAGAGAAAATTAGTATGAAATCTGCAATTTGTTCGTGTCAGCGTTCGGTTAGCTGGCGGCACCATATGCTATATGCCACTGCGACGGACTATTGAAACTATTCGCCTCTGGTTTCACGGTCCATCCCCCGGTTCCGCACAGCAGAGGTCTCAATAAGAGAACAATGTGACAATTTACCTCTAATAACCATATCGTCATGGTGATTGGTATCCCACTGCGGCATTTCTTGCTCAACTTCAATACTACTTTTCCAGACTGCGCCTTTTGTCGTCATGTTGGGTCCAAATAAAAAAGCTAGATCTGAACATCATATAGACTCTTTTTAGCCTAAATCTTGAAAAATACACTTTTCTTAATAACGGTGGATAATTGTTCAACGAGGTTTCCGGTTATCGTGTGAAGAATATTTTAATTATCAAATAAAAAAAAATTAAATATAAGAGAAAGGCTTAATTTTACTCGGTGTCGTTGTCCAAGGTACTGAAAGCTGTAGGAATAGGCTAGACAAGCTGTTCCAGTGCTCAAAAGTACTTATGGACAGATATTGGTATTTGTTGCGTTGTAGATGGCGTCCTCTGTTGAAATCGTGTTTTGTTCAAAGATTTGAATTCGATGTGTTTTCATTTGTTAATTGCCGTCTTAGTTGTCCATGCACGCCTATTGCATAAAGACTTCAAAGCTTTAATGTTTTTAATACCTGACGAAGACAGAAATAGTCTGAATGTTAATTGTTTGCCATTAAACACAATTTAAGAGAATTGTGACAGTGTGCTAGACTATTGGCTTTAAAAAAAAGATGAAACTGTTCAGAAAAAGGCTTAAGAATTGCTATAACGAAATTACGTTTCAAACAGTCACCTGTTGTGTGGGAAAACCTGCATGGTTTCACACTTAACATTTAATATGTCATAAGCAAGCACATTTTGGGAATTTAAGAAGTGTCTTCTCAAAGTTAAGGTAAATAATTTCGTAGGTGCGTATGTTTCTAATAGGACGGTCACTTATTTTGTGATGAGTAGAATCCACAATAATATATCTTTGGTAGGCCTACTTGTATGATTGGACATATTGTCTGGAAAAAAAATGTCAAAGGATGCTCCCTTCAGACAGCAGAGCGAGGCGAATCAGAGGAACGCCTCCTATCCAGGCCCTATCTGCCCGATTTTACACACTTCCTCGTTAACAGCGGGTCCTTGGGAACGCCTTAGAATACCCTTTGACCAATCAGGCCTGTCTCCTACACTTTCTACTTGCATATTTCCAAGGCTTCGTGACAACGTAGGCCAACACTCATTTAAT